TATATATATATATATATATATATATATATATATATATATATATATATATATATATATATATCTTCTATTTATCCTTGTGACACATTTACAATCAATTTTAAAACCTCATGTGCAAATTCTATTATTATATTATTTTAAATTTTAATTGTTCTCTCTTATGTAAAGCTTATTTACTCTGGAAAATGGATAGAGATTCGAATTTATCATTCATTATCTGTGCACTTTATCATTCTTCTATTATTTAACGCAATTTAATATTTAAAAATACATTAGTATAAACATTGATATCGATAATATATTTATACACTTTTATATTTTTATGACAATATTTTAATAAATATTTTAATAAATAAATTTTAATAAATAAAATAATTTTTTTATACAAGTATTATCAGTTATAATCTTTTCTTATAAGTTCCCTGAGGGGACAGAACAATCGTGAGAAAGTCATAAATAAATTGCGAGATAGTTCCTGAATTCTTTTTGTTAAAAAGGAAGATTGAATTCGTAATATTATCCCCCCCCCTCTCTTCTCTGTCTCAGCAGTTTCAGGAGCAAGGCCCTGGCATACCGGAAATGCGCATTATAAAATTCATGCTACCCACCGGATTTGTGTACTTAGTCCGAAACTTTGCAGGCACGTAATTTGATAATTGCTCTTCCCTTCCAGCTCATCGTCGCGTCATTTCCTCTTTAGCGATAAATACTAATCTGACAATTATAAATAATCACTGTCGAAACAATCTGTCCTTAAAAAATATGAGGACTGAACTCGGAAGAGATAAGAAAATTGCGATAGATTTTCCAGATACTTTATTCGATTCGATTGCCTCGATCGTAATACTAATTAAGTCATAATTATTCGAAGTGTGCATCCGATGATACTGCTTGTATCGTTTTATTTTAATTAGTCATGCAATTAAGAACGTTGCAAAATTTTATCAGATTTCATTTCATTCATGTGTAATTATGCTTTCTCGTATCTCTGCGATTTAATGTGAAAATTACTGTGAATCGAGGGTGATTATTACACAGTAAACGAATAAACCGATACTAAAAATGATTCATTATTATTATAGCAAATATGCAATATTTTTCTTTACACGATGATAAATCCAGTTATTAATCCTTTTTAATTTCTGTCAATATCCGGAATTTTCACGCGCGCGCGCACACATAATTCTTGAGTTTTTATTTTTATTATATGTTTATTGAATAAACATGAAATATTTTTATAACAAAAAGATTTCAATAAACATATAATAAAAATAAAA